GACTGGGCCTTTGCGGCACTGAAAACGGATGGCAGTGTCTACTGCTGGGGCAACTCCCAGGAAAGTGATACGTCCTCAGTGAATCTCTCCGCCAACATCGTGGATGTTGTGCCCAACAGTGCTGGCTTCGCTGCTACCAAGAATGATGGAACCATTTTGACTTGGGGCAGAGCTGGCAGCCATGAACCGGGAGCCGTGGACTTGTCGAACGTGGCAACGATTGTGGGCGGAGATTGGGCCTTTGCGGCTCTGAAAACTGATGGTTCCGTCGTGACCTGGGGCTTCGCCAGCCATGGAGGTGACTCCAGTTCTGTTGCCTCCGAGCTTTCATCGGGCGTCCTGTCCATTCAACCTCCCAAGCTTGATGGCTTCCAGCGTGGCTTTGTTGCCTGGAAAGCCGGCAGCACAGCCGTGATTTGGGGCCACAACACGGACGGGACCCACATAGCCTTGCCCTCCCAAGTGATCTCGGACGTGAAGAAGGTGGAGATAGCAGGGCTGGCCGTCGGAGTCTTGAGGAATGATGGGACCGTGATCACTGCTGGCCGGGCAGATGACAGCAGGAGCTTCGCCGATTCAAGCAGCGTTGCAGCACAGCTCACGAATGTGGTCGACCTCGTGTGCCCGGCGTACGCCTGCGCAGCACTCAAGGTCGATGGCACGGTTGTGACATGGGGCTATGCAGACTGGTTTGGGTCGACCAGACGGCTTTCAGGCTCCAGTGGGCTCACAAACATCCATAAGATCTATGGCTCGTTCTATTCCTTCGCCGGGCTCAAGACGGACGGGAGTGTGATTACCTGGGGTCGGAGTGGTTCCCAGTATGGCACGGACTTCTCAAGTCCCCGAAGCAGCACGAGCAGCGAGGTCCAATCCGATGTCGTGGAGATCTACTCGAACCCAAAGGCCACTGAGGGAGGTGGAGCTTTCGTTGCCCTAAAGCAAGACGGCGGTATCGTCGCCTGGGGCAACTCACAGACTGCGAGCATCCCCTACAATAGGCTCACAACCGTCACCACTACAACAGTCACAACGACGAGTTACACTGTCTCCACTTCGACGTCATCCACTGAAACTCGAACAACGTCGACTTCCTCGTCTGTGACGCAGACGACTTCGACATCCTCATCCCAAACGGCCACGGTCACGACGTCCACCTCTTCAACCCACACCTTGACGACGTCCACCTCTTCGACTGCCACCACTACGTTCACGCCCGTAGAGTGCTTTCAGGGGTCACGCTGCGGCGATGTGACGCTATACATCGGTGACGGCATTGCAGTTGCTTTATACTCTACTGGGTATGCGGCTGCATGGGGCACTTGGTACGGAGGCATCGACAGCTATCTCGAGTCAGGGGTCCAAAGTATTGTCATGGGGCGCAAGTCCTTTGCCGCAATAAAGGCAGATGGCACCGTTGCCACCACGGGGCAGTACTACTTCAGCCAGACTGACCTGGAGGCTGGCCTGGGCGGTGTTGCTGTGACGAAGGTGGTTGGGAGCGACTGGGCCTTTGCGGCACTGAAAACGGATGGCAGTGTCTACTGCTGGGGCAACTCCCAGGAAAGTGATACGTCCTCAGTGAATCTCTCCGCCAACATCGTGGATGTTGTGCCCAACAGTGCTGGCTTCGCTGCTACCAAGAATGATGGAACCATTTTGACTTGGGGCAGAGCTGGCAGCCATGAACCGGGAGCCGTGGACTTGTCGAACGTGGCAACGATTGTGGGCGGAGATTGGGCCTTTGCGGCTCTGAAAACTGATGGTTCCGTCGTGACCTGGGGCTTCGCCAGCCATGGAGGTGACTCCAGTTCTGTTGCCTCCGAGCTTTCATCGGGCGTCCTGTCCATTCAACCTCCCAAGCTTGATGGCTTCCAGCGTGGCTTTGTTGCCTGGAAAGCCGGCAGCACAGCCGTGATTTGGGGCCACAACACGGACGGGACCCACATAGCCTTGCCCTCCCAAGTGATCTCGGACGTGAAGAAGGTGGAGATAGCAGGGCTGGCCGTCGGAGTCTTGAGGAATGATGGGACCGTGATCACTGCTGGCCGGGCAGATGACAGCAGGAGCTTCGCCGATTCAAGCAGCGTTGCAGCACAGCTCACGAATGTGGTCGACCTCGTGTGCCCGGCGTACGCCTGCGCAGCACTCAAGGTCGATGGCACGGTTGTGACATGGGGCTATGCAGACTGGTTTGGGTCGACCAGACGGCTTTCAGGCTCCAGTGGGCTCACAAACATCCAGAAGATCTATGGCTCGTTCTATTCCTTCGCCGGGCTCAAGACGGACGGGAGTGTGATTACCTGGGGTCGGAGTGGTTCCCAGTATGGCACGGACTTCTCAAGTCCCCGAAGCAGCACGAGCAGCGAGGTCCAATCCGATGTCGTGGAGATCTACTCGAACCCAAAGGCCACTGAGGGAGGTGGAGCTTTCGTTGCCCTAAAGCAAGACGGCGGCATCGTCGCCTGGGGCAACTCACAGACTGCGAGCATCCCCTACAATAGGCTCACAACCGTCACCACTACAACAGTCACAACGACATCCTTATCTACAACGTCCTCGACTAGCTCAAGCACTTCCACACACACCTCATCTTCGAGCAAAACTGCAACCTCTACCTCGTCCACAAGCTCCTCAACCGCTTCCACATCGTCTACATCCACCAGCAGCACCAGCACTTCCACTACGACCACTTCCTCCGCCAGCAGCAGTTCCACATCGACTTCGTCTACGTCGACATCCTCATCAAGCACATCCTCAACCTCTACATCGAGCTCGACTACATCCACCAGCAGCACCACCACTTCCACTACGAGCACTTCTTCTACATCAACATCGTCAACAAGCACATCCTCAACATCTACATCGAGCTCGACTACATCCACCAGCAGCACCAGCACTTCCACTACGAGCACATCCTCCACCAGCACCAGTACCACGTCGACATCGTCTACGTCAACATCCTCATCAAGCACATCGACAACATCTACATCGAGTTCGTCTACATCTACCAGCAGCACCAGCACTTCCACGACGAGCACATCCTCCACCAGCACCAGTTCCACATCGACATCATCCACGTCAACATCCTCATCAAGCACATCGACAACATCTACATCTAGTTCGTCTACATCCACCAGCAGCACCAGCACGTCCACCACGAGCACATCCTCCACCAGCACCAGTACCACGTCGACATCATCCACGTCAACATCCTCATCAAGCACATCGTCAACATCTACATCGAGCTCGTCTACATCCACAAGCAGCACCAGCACTTCCACGACGAGCACATCCTCCACCAGTACCAGTTCCACGTCGACATCATCCACGTCAACATCTTCATCAAGCACGTCGACAACATCTACATCGAGTTCGTCTACATCCACCAGCAGCACCAGCACGTCCACCACGAGCACATCCTCCACCAGTAGCAGTTCCACGTCGACATCATCCACCTCAACATCTTCGTCAAGCACATCCTCAACATTTACATCGAGCTCGACTACATCTACGAGCAGCACCAGCACTTCCACTACGAGCACATCCTCCACCAGTAGCAGTTCCACGTCGACATCATCCACGTCAACATCTTCATCAAGCACATCCTCAACATCCACATCGAGCTCGACTACATCTACCAGCAGCACCAGCACTTCCACCACGAGCACATCCTCCACCAGTAGCAGTTCCACGTCGACATCATCCACGTCAACATCTTCATCCAGCACATCCTCAACATCCACATCGAGCTCGACTACATCTACCAGCAGCACCAGCACTTCCACGACGAGCACATCCTCCACCAGCACCAGTTCCACATCGACATCATCCACGTCAACATCCTCATCAAGCACATCGACATCATCTACATCGAGTTCGTCTACATCCACAAGCAGCACCAGCACGTCCACGACGAGTACTTCCTCCACCAGTAGCAGTTCCACATCGACTTCGTCTACGTCAACAACCTCATCAAGCACATCCTCAACATCCACATCGAGCTCGTCTACGTCCACGAGCACCAGTTCTACGACGATGACAGGTTCCACATCTTCCACCATTTCCGGTAGCTTTGCTTGCCACAGTCTACTCGAAGCATCCATGCCAAGCAGAAGCCCCCGCCTGTTGCAGCGCAATCCAAGTTACCTCTACAACAAGTAGCAGTTCCACGACAGCATCAGCCGCCAGCTCAGGACTTTGTCGTGGAGGTTCTGTCGTGGGCTGGTTCGACATGCCAAGGACATGAAGTATCACTCCACATTGTCACCTCGCAGTCTTGTGTCCACATCACAATCCGAACTCTGACACTGCATGACCTATTTCGATCCTTCGCATCATAAGATCTGCCATCGTGACTTGTCGCAAAGCAGGACAGAAGGCTTCCAGACCTCAGCCGGTTAGGGTTTCTCATTCGTCTTGTGGTTCCGGCTGCGTGGTCAAGTATGTAGTCCCCAGTACCTCGAAGTGCCGAGTTCACATCAACTACTTCGACAACGACGCTGACGACGCAAACTTTCACCGAAGGCACGTCCACGAGCCGGACAGCAGCATATGCTTCGAGGTTCGCGCTTTTTCGTTTTCGTAGCTGACCCAAACTTTTAACCCGTCTTGTCTCGTTTTCATCACTTCTCTCAGGAAGTGCCGCGCAATTACTCAATCAATCCGGAAACCGGAAGAACCAGATCCGACATTATCGATGGCCAATGCCATATAGGCCCAGAACTGCGTCCCAGCGCCCGCACACTGAGTGCCTCACATCGGCCCCGAAAGTTTGCGTGGCTTTCAAGATGCTGTTGTTCCTCGGGCTTGGGTGCCAGGCAACTCGCAAGTTCTCGCCGCGGAAGTCAGCCGCAGCGTCCAGGATGTGAGCATGCGAAAGGCAAGCTTGACTTTCAGAGTTTGAGGGTTTAGGATTTCAGTGCACGTCTGCAGTTCGCTGACCGATTGATTTAGCCGGAGTGCGTCAGAGGCTCAGGCTGAGACTTCAACCGTTCTTCATGTGGACAGAACAGTTCTACCTCTTTGTCCGTGGCCATTTTCGTCAGACGTGGCCCGGTGGCGGAGTTCGTCGTCACATCGTTTGGTAGTTCAGGGTCGTTGGCCTTGAGATGCCTTGAGGGTTTCGTAAGAGCGAGAGGGTGCTGGGAAGGGTTGCAGGTGTAGACTTGCTTTTCCACATCGTCAGTAGCTCTCATAGTATTTGGGCTTCACTTCTACCCTTCAACACCCCTGCGGAGATTCCAGAAAAGCGAGGAACTCCTTGCCGCTGTCTTGAAGCCCGCAAGCCTTCTCCGGCGAAATGCGTGTCACTAGGTGCTTGTGCTTCGGGTGTTGCTAAGACCTCAGTGCTGGGATCTGTTCCGCCGTAGGTTGTTTGAGCTCGTGGCATGCCCCTGTTGCCAAAATAAAAAAAAGCCTCCAGAGCAACAAAAATTTTCAGATTGCCAGCAGACAATAAAGACCCTGAGGTCCCTAGAGCCCCGAAGAGCCTTGAATTCACTTGGGTCCAGGCCCGTTCTGTCCAGAACGTCTTCAAGATGTTGGACGACATGCAGGCCCGGCCCTGTTTGCCCCTGGCCTTACGAGGCCCCGCGACTCGAGCCTTCAGGCAAAAAGATTGCAGAGCGCACACTGCTGTGTATGTATATATATATATATATATATATATATATACTGCACATTCTGGTGTAGGAGTCTGCAGGGCTTTACAGCATACAGAAGTCGGAGCTGCAGCGTTTGCTGTGGTCCTTTAAGCAGTTGTTGGAGCGTTTGGGAATGTTGCAGCTTCGAGACATGCCGTAGGCCGTAGGGTCTTGGAATTGAGCTTAGCATTGCTTCCTACGGTGACGTGTCCCCACTCGCTTGCCGGTACCACACCAAGAGAGTCTGTGAACCAGGATGTAATGACGGTCGAACCGAGAGCGCTAAGCTCAGAACCCAATTTCGGAATCCACAGAAGAATTTCAGAGCGTGCGAACTACAACTCGAAGCTGTGTCCTGTTTGGTGTCGGGCAACGTATTTTGCCAGCTTGCTTGTCGTACGGCGATGGGCATCATGACAGTAACTATTAGCAGTGCAGCAATGCTCCTACTATACTCGGACAGAACAACATAGGCATCCCGACGAATGCAGCAGCTCGCCATTAAAGGCGCTACTGGCCACCGACCGAAGGTCATTACACTACGTTACACAGTGGGATACGGCGAATTTGGTCCAGCAGACTTTCCGTTTTTGGCTGCCGTGAGTAGATGCCGGCTGCCACCGCCAACCCCACCCCGCCACATCAACGACGATCAATGCAATGGGCATCTTTGCACATTTTGTCGAGCTTCTGTCGCTAGCTAGGCGGGACCTCATATGGGGTCCAGGGTTTCTTTTGGAGGGGTCGGCCAAACTCGGGTATTTCAAAAAGGTTTGGCCGAGTCTTGGTTCGGCGCATGGTCCTCTGGTCCCTTGGTCCTTTCGTTAAAGGTTAAATGACATGAGCCCTAGAATGCCCTTCAGGAACAGCAGGGCTGATCGGCTTGTTTTGAGTGCCTAGATTGTATAGTGGTTGCGGAGCTTCGGCTCCAGACGAGGGAAAGAATGAAAGAGAATTGACTTCGGAGCGGGAGGAGTTGGTAATAAAAGCAAACTGTTCCCACCCCCCGTGTACAACGGGGAACTGGAAAAAACGGAAGATGGGCCATGGCAACTGAAGTGTCATGGCAACTGAAGTGATATGTCGGATTGCACTAATGCTGGATTATGGCGAAGGAGCCAACACTGTGATCACTGATGAGTTGAGTGAGCACTTTGATATTCAGCGAACGCTTCTTCAGACGAATCAACTGTCAATGTTCTCGGAGCAATTGGCACACTTACGGGCGATTGTCCGGTCCGAAATGAGGACACAGAGAATGGCCGTTTGATTTGGAGACGACTGCGCAAGCAGTTCGCCTTGCCAGAAAGAGCGAGAGCCATGACCATCTGGAGAGAGACCTGAGTGAGTTCATGAACTTGAAGAATAGACATGAAAAGACGACCGGCAAGCCATTGGACAATGACCTCCTGATCACATTGCCAATGCAGAAGACTGGGTCCATAGCAGCAGCATTTTCGTCTGAATGCCGGTAACATCAACACGTTTAATGAGGCCTTGGAGAGTGTGTAGAGCTACAGAAAGAGCAGGCATCTCATTGTGCCGAGTGGTAGGACTGATCACCAGGGTCATGACATGGACATTGGAGCATTGAGAGGAAAGAAAGGATGGAACGGAAAAGGATTCAAGAGCAAAGCATACAAAGGAACCGGCAAAGGAAAAGGAACGAAAGGAAGAGGAGAAGGACAAGGGTGGTTGTTTGTGGCGATCCAAGCCACCGGAGCAAGGCATGCCCAAAAGGACAAGCCAGAATGTCCGCGGTGACTGAGGATGAGCAAGGTGAGTGGAATTAGGATTGGAAGCCAGAAAAATATGCGCCGACATGGACAAAAAGCACGCACCGACATGGAAAAAAACACACGCCGACATGGAACAAAACCCGCCGACATGGAAAAACATTTGCGTCGGCATGGGAAAGATTCGCGCCGACATGTAAAACATATTCGCCGACATGGCCAAAAGAACACACGCCGACATGCCAAAAATCCGACGCACACGCCGACATGTCAAAGTCGACCCGCGGAGATAATATCTCGGATTGTTTTTCCATCTCGGTGCATGATCTTTCTGTGTTGGCGCGCGTGCGATCCCCGCTATCGATGTTTTCCATATATCCATCATACAGGAATTCTGTTTGCAAATGGATTTTTTTAGGCTGCGCAAGCTCGCTTCTAACATCATCCTGCCAGGAAAACAAAACGGAAATGGCTTTTTTCAGAACTCGTGAAACAGACGTTGTGTTTGCAAATGCGGGGAGCTGCCCCCAACTCCGCCGCTTCGCCTAAGCCACGCAAAGGTAGAGTTCAGGCAGATCGCACCATCAAAAGCAAGTGCATCAAACCCATAGCTTTTTCTGGTCTTTGTCAATATCCATCATACAAGCATTGTGTAATGGCTTTTCCGATAAAGCTATAGTGAGAACATAAGGTTTTCGTGTTGATATGAGGAGGGAAACCCGAAACATAAAACAAACGAGCAAACCCCACAAATTGGTTCTGCACCCCAATACTTTGCTCATCGACATTCCCGGCCAGCTTGGTGCAAAGCGAGTCGTTTCAAATTGTGATTCCCCACAAGTTTGCTGCGAAACAAAGCCGTGCAAATCGTAGTTCCCAACAGCTTGAAGCAAGACAACACGTCGCAATCGAAATCCCCGAGTAGCTTTGCGGAAAACGAAAGTTTGCAAATTGAAATTCCTGACCAACTTGAGACAACAGCCTGCAAATTGTTATTCCCCGATAGTTTCAGGCAAAGACGACCTCGGAAATGGGAATTGGTGATTTCCAAAATAGTTTGTTGCAAATCACACGCAAACGACCACTCGGCCAAACCTTCCAACAAAAACCTTCCGCCCTTCATCCAATACACGTGACAAACAAAAAGACTAACTGCCACAGCTCCAGTCCCTGGATTAATCGGCAGGAGAGCTTAGACGCACAATGCGTTCAATGAAGCCCATCATTGCAAACTCAGTCCCGTCATCACATGAACATCCTTGGAAGGTTGCACCGATCAACCAGACTCAGACAGCCGGCGAGTCTGATCCTGACTTGCTGCTGAAGGTGGTCACCAAGGACCGACTTGTGAATGTTGGTTTGAGACCCTTCAAATCGCCCTGTTCGCAGGGAGCAGATGGGTCCGACATCGGGACTTATGCCTACCGGGTCACTGACAAGTCGGTTGAAGTGACGCTTCTCAGTCTCAGTACCTCTTGAAGTAGCTTTCTGTTTTCCGATACAGAAAGCAGTTGGTACAACAGGGCTGCATGTGCATCTGTCGCTTTGGTGGCCACCTCCCAACCACTTTTTGGGAAAGATCTCTGAAAGCTACGACCTGAAACTCGTATTGAGGATTCACAGACGAGCTCTATAGGCATGCGTGGCATTAGCACATGCAGCCCAGGTTCGAGACAGTTGAGGTCGAGTTGCCGGCTCCGCGCTTGCAGTGATTCCCATCTCGTTACGAGCCACTGGATACTGCAGTGCCTCAACTAGGCTTCTTTGGTTTGCTACGGGTGCAATGGTATTGGTCGAAAAGGCTGCCTTTCATTGCAGTCGACGCAGTGTGGTACCTTGGTAGGTGCGAATTGAGCACGGAGCTGTTAGAAAGAAAGCCTGCCGCCACTCGCAGTTTTGGTCGGGAAGGTTCCTTTTCTCCGATCACTGCAGCAAGACCTAGACGATCCAATCGTCCTCAGCCTAGCGACGTTTGTCAATGGCTCTCTGGCCGCTTGGATTCTTTAGAGGGCCTTGACACCGAACTTTATCTACCATGCTTCGTTGTGCTCCGCGATCTGTCACGATAGCAAACAGGCAACGATGCCGGAGGAGCAACTGCTCCTGCTGTGTACAGTTCGAAACTCCCTTCTTGAACCCTGACCCGTGAGTCTTAGCGGCTTCGGTCACTCCCTGCAGTTTGGTGCCCCTTGCATCATTTGAGCGCTACAGTCCTGCAAGCGCCCCGAGAAGCGACCGCAAAAGGCTTACGAAATGTTGGAGAGCTTGGCCCAAGAGTCCGGCACCGAGCTCGTCGCGGAGCCTTTGCCACCTGGCCAGCACCATCTACCCCGGCTCTGTTCGCGGCACTCTTTCCTTCCAATTCGCTTGGGTGTTTGAGCACTGGTTGGAGGTCTGGGGGGGGGTCTTTCACTGCAGCACCTGCTGGTTGTGATGCTTCGCCCACGGATTCAGAGTTGCATCTCTCGTCGCTTGATCTCACACGCAATTCCTTGGTTCGTTTTACTTTTTGCATAGAGGAGCTACGAGCCTACGAAGAGCCGGGAATTGGAAGCATTGTGTTTTCGGGCGCACAGCTGTCCCAGGTTCTGTTTCTGAGAGGTTCGTGCAAAGGCCTGCCATTTCAACGGCAACCTGGTGTTTTCTTGTTGGACGCTCTGAAGATCTCTGAAGTCGATGGAGATCACAAAGAAGAACTCAATTTAGACCGTCCGGTGCTGCTGGTAAAAGTGCAAAGTGTACGTGCACATGTATGTATGTTTGTATGTACACAGAAGATCTTGGACGCTTGCTTCCGCCTCAGAGTGGCCCCAACACTGCTGTTTAGTTATCTTCCAATGTGTATTTGCTAAGTACCTTATTTCATACTGCGAGTTATACTCTGATTAGGCGACTCGCATTCACGAATGCATGTATATGTGTAGGTCATATGTGATGGTTCGGTGTACGTAAATGCGTGTGTATGCATGCACGCATGCCTGCATTCATGTATACCTGTATGTCTGTACAGCACCAACAAATATGTATACATGTGTAAGTGCAAATACAAAGGGCAAGCATAAATATATGATCCCGGTTCGGCCGGCCCCCCCTCCCCCCCACAATGGTTCCTCCTCCCCCTCCTGTGGTGTGGTGTGGTTGTGGGTTGCTTCCCCCTCCCTGTGGTGTGGTGTGGTGTGGTTCGGGAGTGGGTCTGCTTAGGCTGGTTACCCCACTCCCCCCCCTTGGTGTGGTGTGGTTTGGGTTTCCTGCGTGGGTCTCTGTGGTGTGGTGTGGTTGTGGGTTGCTTCACCCTCCCTGTGGTGTGGTGTGGTGTGGTGTGGTTCGGGAGTGGGTCTGCTTAGGCTGGTTACCCCACTCCCCCCTGTGGTGTGGTGCGGTTTGGGTTTCCTGCGTGGGTCTGCTTGGCGTGTGAGCCCTCGTGTGAACACACAGATTCGGCTTGGGGAGCGTGCGTGGGGGGGTGGGGGGGGGGGGGGGTGGATACCATGGCGCGGGGGGGGGGGGGGGGGGGGCGGGGGTCGGTGAACCGAGAACCGGGATCATATACGTATACACTCATGTGTATATGTGTGCACGCCCCCTAAGGAGCATGTCCTTCTACAATGCCAAAGGGCTGATCACGCAGAATTTCTCCGCCGATCCAGTGAGGCCATGTGTGAAAGGAGAAGGGCAGGCGTTGTGGCACGTTCGGATGGTCGTAGATAGCGGTAGAACCGGTAGAGCCTGCCAGTGTTGGCTACGACCTACGGCGTCATTCCGACGACGATGACGACTGCGACTACTACCTCACTATGACCTAGTAGCAGTGTACTACTACCACTACGACGGCGACGACGACGACTACTACTACTACTACCACTACCACTACCACTACCACTACCACTACGACTGCTACTACTACTACTGCTGCTGCTGCTACTACTGCTGCTGCTACTACTACTACTACCACTACCACTACTACTACTACTACTACTACTACTACTACTACTACTACTACTACTACTACTACTACTACTACTACTACTACTACCACTATCACCAGCACTACTGTCACTACTACTGCTTTTGCTCCGGCTACTGCTACGTGCTCCCGCTCCTGCTCTGGCTTCGGCTCCTGCTCCTGCTCCTTGCTGCTGTTGCTATGCTGCCACCGCTACTACTGTTCCGCTCAGCGGGATTCGGCCTTTATAATTGATTCAAACTCCGTCCATACCTGCGAAGACAGTCCCAATCAAGCGTTCATCGCCAAAATTGAACTCTTCAATCGCCAGGCTCACCATGGAAGTTTTCAGCGACGTCCAATCTGCCGCTCGGCGTTTGCCAGGTCGGGTAGCCGTGCCTTGTTGTTTTGTCGGACGCGTGGTTGCGGCCTTGTGTACAGGTGTTCACTGCGCATATGTCCGCCGTAGTGTCAGAACAGCTTGCATCACGCGGGCAAGAACCTCCTGTTAAGAAGTCTTTGTTGTTGCCATGTTGTGAGTGTGTTCCCGTCGTGTACCCGAAATGCTGCTGTTCCGAAAGGATCGCCACAACGATGGCTCAAGCCTGAAGCATCCGCTTAGCTGCAGAAAGAAGCCTCGAGCACGAATGTGCCGCTGTCCAACTGTCGCGTCAGTTGGTAGCGGATCCCGGCTTCGATAGGCCGGGTTCGAAGCCCAGACAGGACGCATTGCCGTGCCGCGGCAGGAGAAGTTGTGTCCCCAATGTAGCCGGCCTGAGAAGGTCAGGGGGCTGTAGATGTCGAGGCCTTCGCGTAGCTGACCTTCCGACTATCTCCAGCAGATTCTGAAGATTTTCGAAATGGAAGCAGGCCTCCGGAGAGGGAGATGCCGCCAAACAGGGAGTCCTCCACGAGAACGGACGATGCAAGGAGGAGTCAGCACTTCATCCGGGCGGCTCCCTCCGGGATCGAGCTCTGCGAGGATTTTCGAGCAGCTCTGCTCCGGCAAGGAGTGGGATTGCCAGAACAACGGCAGCAAAACCTCACCGCCCTGCTCCAGAGCTCGCTAAATTTTCGCGATCCTGGAAAGTCATCCTCCGCTGCATCGAAATCGGCAGAGCTTCACCGAGGGAGCTTCAGGAGAGAACCGCCGCGACACTACCGCTGCCCCGAGGAACCCTGGACAAAACATCTCGTGAGCAGCAGAAGATCTCGAGGCATCGGGTCGAAGGGGAAGCACGACACCGGAGCATCTTCTGGCACAGATTCTTTCTGTTCGCGAGTGGCTGCCCGAGTCCTCGCATGCTCGAGATGAAGGGGACTTCAAAAAACGACAAGCCCAGCGCTCGGTCGCAGAAGTTCGCTGGAGTTGTCAATCATTGTCCGGGACTTCCAGGAGACACGGTCCATGGCCTTCGGCCTGCTGAGCTTGCTGGACGTCCAAAACGATATCAACTATCGTGGGAGTGACCCCATACCGGCCCAAGCACAAGTCCCGGAGTCACGCGGCTTCATTGAACCCGCCTCACACATGAGTATGAGACTCAAGGAGCAGCATTCCGGTCTGTCAACTCTTGTTAGGGGGTATTGTTAGCATGTTCCTGTTCCCATTGTGTACGGTAAGCGTGATTGACCAGAAGTGCTGCTGCGCCGAAGAGATCGCCATAACGAGGGCTCAAGCCGGAAGCATCCGCTTGGCTGCAGAAAGGCTTCGAGTATGAGCGCGCAACTGTCCAACTGTCGCTACTACAATGTCAGTCTTCCCCAGTTGCATGCAAGCTGATTTTGAAGGCCTGCACATCCCACCTGTGCATCCCATTTGTGTGGTATAGGTATAGGCATCAGGCATCTGTGTTTGTGGAAGAGGGCGTGAGACCATGTGGCCCGGGGGGCGACATAGCCTGGCTGTCGCCAGGCTGTGCCTGCACGTCGTGTGTACCTGACATGAGGGTCTGGTGGCTCAGACCCTGGGGTGTCGAGTGTGCTCTGCTCCTTCTGCCACGCCCAGGCTTGCGGTAGGCGAGATCAATTAAAGGAATTTCAGGTCTTCTTGCAACACAGATTGTGGGCGGAGGTAAGAGCGGCTGTTGTGTTTGCCATTTGCACGGGTTCTTCCGGGCTTCTTACCCAGCTCTGTACCTGGGGGGGGTGGGCACATGCAGCGCATTTGGCGGAGTTGCATTTTCCTTCGGCTATCAACCGCATCTCTCGGAACGCAAGCTGTCAGAACATCTGGCCCAAATCGAGGCTTGGGCCTGCACCCCGCTCGTGCCGAACTGCCTAGCATGAAAGTCGTTTGGCTGAGACCCTTGGGCCTCGGATGTGCTCTGCTCCTTTTGCCATGCCCAGGCTTGCGGGAGGCGAGATCAATTAAAGGAATTTCAGGTCTTCTTGCAACACAGTATAGGCGGAGGTAAAATCGGCTGCTGTGTCTGCGGTTGGCACGGGTTCTTCCGGGCGTCTCACTGTGCCACGTTGCAGAGCGGTAGACACATGCAGCGCATTCCTGGC